CATACAGAAGAAAAGCTCCGTTTTATCTGCATTGAACACATTATTCAACGTATAACCTTCAATCAACTCATGCAATTAGACTCGTGATCAGTGTTTAAAATTCGAACATGTTTCTATATATGGAAAAGCTTGATAATTTTTGTTCAAAAAAAGATACGTTATATATATGATACAATAAAATCTGCAGATTCTACTTATAGATTTTAAATACACTAATGCTCACAACTTAAAGCCAAATTGCCTATTAACTCATAAATTGCCACTATAACATAGGTTGAAACAAAGTATATAAGTATTATAGAAATATCAAGTTCTGATTTTTTCTAATTCTTGGTACCATCATGACAACAAAGACATATCAGGAGCTGATTGAGCTATCAGATACTTGGTAACTCTATCAAGTATCTGATAGCTTTATCAGCTCTTGATATATCTTTGTTGCTATCACGATGTATGCCAAGAATCAAAAAAATCAGAACCTGATATTTCTATAATACTTATCTAATACACTTTATTTCAACCTGTATAAATCTCTCCTGGTCATCATCCAATTTTAGATCATTAACAAGTGAATAATTTAACAAAGTCAAGCGTTATCTATACTTACTGCAGTTATACTTACTGATTAAATCAATTAAGGAAATGAGTGATACAAATAAAAAAAACTTGTAATGTTTAGTTTTCTTAATGTATCCGATTTGAATTTATCTCATTGGCATTACTTAAATTGATTTTAAGACCTTGTAAGTACGTATGTACAAATCAGTATTGATAGTATTTTGAACATATTTAATCGCATTTATATATAAAAAAAAGATCAGAACACTAATTTCAAAAGTCCAGTGTAGCAAAATTTAGATTTGTACTTATAGGCTTTCTCTTGACCATACTTATCTATAATCACTAAGATATGTTTCTTAAATAATTAAAAAAAGTTCAAATTAAGAAAAAAAAATTGCAATAAGTAATAGCGTACATACAAGCTTGTATGAATTTGAGATTTAAATCATTCCAATATCAATCGGGTTAACTTGAGATCAAACCATTATCGACCATACAAACTTGAAATCCAAATCATTATCTATCTTTGCTATTAGCTTGTAAAGTGAAATCCAATTGTTAGTCGTATGAATTTGAGATCTATTTTCGCATCAATGCAAGATTTTACCAAACAGAGCATATAATTAAAGCTTGTTGGTGACTAGAATATTAGTAAACTAAACATCAATAATGCTATTCTTTGAAAAAATATCAAATAACAATAGATTATTTATAAAAGGCGAAAATTTCAAATTCCAACTTACTTGCGTCGTTTATATATTTTCAGATAGATAAATTTGTAATTGTAGTTGTCATTACAAAAATTAATAGGTTTTGTATATACTTTGAATATAAAAGAACCATTAGTTCCATAAATCACTTTAGATAAAATTTAAGTAAATACTTAGTCTATGTTATCTAAAAATTTATTACAAAAAAGACCAAGAACAGCCATTAGTGAATATTTGAAACGAGAAATATGTGAATATTATTAAAACAATCCTAACAAAAGACAAATAGATATCATGAACCATTTTAATTCTCAAGACCCCAACTTAAATTTGGATCGGACCACTATTTCAAAGATATTAAAAGATAAGTTAAAATGGTTAGCAGTTACGGAAGACCAATTAAGTTCTACAGTTTTTCAGCATAAACAAGTGAAATATCCTTTATTGGATCAATCAATAAGACTCTGGGTTGAACAAATTACCAACAGTGAAGTGATTCTAACGGAATTAATGATTAAGAAAAAGGTGATTGTTTTTGCAAAAGCCTTGGGTCTAAGCGATGATACTTTAAAATTTTCTAACGAATGGATCCATAAATTTAAACAGCGCAATAATCTTAGAAATTTTAAATTGTATAGAGAAGCCAACAGTGCACCACTATCTTCGCTTCTGGAATATAGAGAGAAATTGCATGAGTTGATTGAAGGTTATACGTTGAATAATGTGTTCAATGCAGATAAAACGGAGCTTTTCTTCTGTATG